ATGTAAACTTTATTACAGATCATTACTTATTATAGAATATTTAAATAAACATTTAAATGTGTTACTTTAATTTAATAATATTATAGAATAGTAAAGAAAATTTCACGCTTAGATCACTTCACTATAACCCATGTGATATAGATTCGTTATTTTTATTGGATCTAAAACACTTCATGTTTGTGTATCATCTACACGTAGATCACAAACCCTTAACCAATTAAAACAAATTTCTATCATGCTATTTTCGGGTATATATGAATTGTAGGGTGCTTATTTTCGGAGGAATACGGTAATATAAAATTCATCGAATTTTGTTAGATATCCCCCAAAAATTGCTGCTTTAATATAAGCTGCATTTCTATACCTAGTAAGAACAACAGTGTCTAACGGACATGAAATTCAAGGCATAATTTTGGCATCATGAAAACAGCTACTATAGCTTGTTTTCTAGCTATCGGATTTGATTTTTGCTAGAGCTTTGTTAGTCTTTACATTCGTCTTTTCCAATTCTAGATGGCAACTTTCATCAGGGGATTTGAATATCTTCATGGTTTCTCCGATTATCCACAAAAAGATTTTACAAATTTCAACTTTAATAATTTCAATTTAAAACAATATGAATTATATATTTTTGATAGTTTATCGGAAAGGTTGGCTTTTACTTTTCTTTTTTTTAAAATTATTTTTACTAAATTTTAGCAGGCAATAATACACGATTAAATTATATCTTTCTATCAATGTCATTATGATAGAACTAGTATAGCAAAAAAGAAAAAGAAAAAAGACTACATTATCATGATATGAATATTTAACATTAAAATGATATTATGTGATAATGTTTGATTGGCTCGTCAACGAAGTGACGGAGCTAGCATTATTGCGAGATCAATGATTCTGACCACCACGTGAACACGTGCGCAAGAAAATATATGTATATGCAATAGTTAAAGAACAACCGATAAGTTATGTAATTCTTCGTAAGAAATTTTTGTTGTGCTATGAGTAAAAATAAATGTGTCGTATGAGAATGACGAAAAATGTCATAAGTAGGGATATATAAGCATTCTATTTGAATTAGCGAAGTCTCTATCTTTTGGTTTCACTATTGCCCGCCTCGTATTATTAGGCTGCCCATCCCTCCTACCCAAATAGGACAAATCGAACTAATGCTTTGAAACGTAGTCGTGAATTTGTGCGTGAAGAATGAAAGTGATCGTGGTTCGGAGGTTATAATAACACAAAGACCACTTGATCAGTTATATGAGCAATGATAATATATAAGGAATATCGTGGCTCTAAGGCTAAAGTAGCGCAAAGACCACTTAATTTATATTCAGTTGCCTAGTATTTATCGCTCTTTTCAATTTACTAAATGATGACGATCACATGGAAATCTTCAAAATTCCCAAATTTAAGGCTTTTTTTTTGTGAATAAATCTAAATTTCTTGCTAACAAATAAAAATTTCCAAAATTTCTCTTCTATTTTCGCTTTTTCGGCATTTTATCAACCAATATACAAGAGCTGGTTGTTTGTACAGCTAAATAATATGGGAAATTTCAAACCTTTTCTTACATATTTTTTATTTTTTTAACTTTGAACGAAGCTATCTTGACAACCACCAAGTCGAATTTGATGAACCTTTCTTATTTAAATTCTACAAACCAGTAGAATTCAAATTAAGAAAAGTTTATTAAATTTGGCTTGGTGACTGTCGAGATATTTTCTTTCAAAGCTTTAAAAAAAATTGCGTCGAATTTTCTCAAAATTTAAACGAAGATACCTCAACAACCACAAAGTCAAATTCAATGAAGTATTTTTTTTTTTTTTTTTGAATTCCATGAATCTGTAGAATTCAAATAAAAAAATGCTTACCAAATTTGGATTGATAGTTGCCAAGATATCTTCACTCAAAGTTTTAAAAAATTCAACGTCTATCAAAAGCGATAAATTTCTCAACTTTGAACAAAAATATCTCATCAAATATTAAACTAAATTCAATAACCATTTTTTATTTGAATTCTACGAACATAAAAAGGAAAAATTTATCTAAATTGAGATGATGGTTGTCAAGATATATTCGAGAAAAATTCCGTTGAATTTTTTTTTGACTTTGAGCGAAGGTTTCTTGACAACCACCAGGCCAAATTTAATGAACTTTTTTTTATTTGAATTCCACAAATCCGTAGAACGTAAATAAAAAAAAAATTGTTAAATTTTGCCCGGTGGGTGTCGAGATATCTTCGCTCAAAGATTATCAAATTGCCGATTTCCAGATTTCCAGATTCTCAGTGATGTGAATTTGATGATCACAGTAGAGCGATAAATATCTGCAAATTTAGTACAAAAAATAATTTTATAGTTATTGGATAGGGTTAAAATATGTACGTGAGTATTTTAACCCTATCCAATAACGGTATTATTGTGATGCAGTTATTGACAATTATACTATTTTTTCACTTTCGTATAATTTACGTCGTCAAATTTAAACTTTTCTTTTTTTTTTTTTTTTTAGGATCAAAATTTTAAGCTATAAAAAAAGATGATAAATCAGTGACAACGTAAACTGTACAAATATGAACATTTTTAGTGCAGTCGTCAATAACATGGCTGCACAATAATAAAAAAATATTAATCTGACTGTTTTTATTCACTAATTAAATTATTTTTTTCGGTACATTTTGACCTATCAAGACACTTGGAAACACCCTGAATAATATCGCTTAGTAAACACCAAAGACCCCCATTGATGTTTCTTAGTTCGCATGGAACAATTGACGAAAAAGTAACATCTATAAAGAATAAAAATGCTTTAAAATATGATGAAAAGGAAGTTATATATTATCTTTTACAAAAGTAATCACAAAACATATTACAAAATTTTCGATTTTTGTGTTTACATATATTAATCTCTAGATTCTTCGGTTTGAACTAAAAGATACGAATAAATTATGCCCAGAGACTATAGATAAAGGGTCACCTAATTTACTAACCTTATGAAAATTGAGGACACAAATGAAAATAATTTATATAGCATTCTAGAAAGGTATTTAGATATTAACCTATGTGCTTTAAAAATCAAATAACAGATTCAACATCAAGTATAGTGAACAGTTGAGATTGGAAATTGCGTCATACAAACTTACCCATTTATTCGAGTTTCTGGACGCATCATTGATGATGAGAGAATAACATTTATAATAGATAAAATTCAAGACGATGAAACTTTTAGTCAAAATGAAAAACTTCTAGCATATATTACTCTGAATTGGTAATCAAAACATTCAAATCTGTAAATTTATATATGTGTTTTACTTTTTTGTCTATTAGGTTACAAACAGTATTGGCTTGACCAGACCAGTTTGACCATTGAACCAGACCAATTTGACCAGTAAAATTTTGGTCGACCACTAATTTGCCCAACACTGGTTACAAAGTTCAGAAAAATTAGAGTCATACGATAGTGTAAATCAATTAAGGGCATTATATGAAAGGGCATCTAATTTTTTAAAACAATATATTCATAAAGTAAATAAAGAACTTATGAATAGTATAATTAAAAATGGCATTACTTTTAAACAAGACGAAAAGAAACTTCTTACGGATTATGTTTAAAGGTAGCCGGAAGGTTTATGTATATTGAAAATGACCCTGTACGTGATACCTCTCAAAAAAAGCACACTCAAATTCTGAGCCGAATATATGTATGACCTCTATAAATTCATATTTATTATTCTCTAAATGCATGTCATTAAATGCTTGGTTCCTAGAGGATGTATTTAAAGAGACCTGACTGTATCGTATTTTATCAACATACTTTTCCTTAATAGCAACTTTGATTTCTTAAAATCTGCTTTTACTAAAATAGTATTTCCATTGTTTTTTTTCGGTTTTTCTTATATGATCTCGTACCAACATTTATTTATGCATACTGATACCACTTCCCCGATATCCCATTTTCCTTACAGTTAATTTTTGACAACCTAATTCATATCACCCATTTCTTTAATTTATTTCTTCAAAGTCCACTTCTCCGACACCTCATTTCTTAAATCTTCATAATCGACATATGAAAAATATTTGCAGTGGAATAGATGTCTGAGAAATGGGTGTCATATGAAATATCTGTTAAAAATAGATTTTAAGAAAATGTAGTTAATAAACCAGATTTTCAAACCCATATTTTACTATTTATTTTACAAAAATTAAAAAAAAACACATAATAGTTTTGTAATTTTTTTTATTATTCAAAAAGACAAACAAAACCGAAATACATTGATTACAATATGAAACTATTGATTATTCAGTAACCCAATTTGTATATTGGAACACAAAATCAAATATCAACCTATTAAGCCAGAAAATAAAGAATTATTGTATATTACAAACTCACGCATCAAGTTTTTAATCGACAGTTATTTTAAAGCGACATCTAATATATATATACATAAACGAAATTTAATATGTATTTTAACAAATTCTTTAAATATATTTAAACGCCTCGCCTTTTAACTGATATCAATAATATAAATCAAGATATCTCAATATATCTTTGAACCTTATTATATAATGCGATTAATTCTTGTGAGGTCAAGAATTTTCATAACTCATCGCTTATCGATGGTTTAATATCTAACATAGATACATGTATAATTCCTATTAAGTCTCAAATTACCTAGGTCAATGTTCAATGCTACGTATCATAATTATTTAATGTGTTTTTTCTAAATTAATTCACCCCTTTTTTTTGGGTAAAATAATCAATTAATCTTAGTTTTAGTATTTATAGTCATAAATCAAATTTTTGTTAATTTTAAAAGCATTCAATTTAAAATTTTACATACATGCATATGCTTCTTAATAAAATAACTATGTAACAATTACATATCTGGTAAAACTTCATATTTTTAATATAAAAAGAATATGTATAGAATCGTTAACTTTCCACGCATTCATAATACCTTTTTAGTATTAAACTACGGAATTTTACAATATTCTGAAAAATCTTCTTTTTTGCGTAGAATTTAAGTTAAATTATTTAGTGCAATGTAGTTCAGGACAATAATTAAATGATAAAGCTTTTTGGCAATTTGTACAAAATTAAAGTCGATGTGAAATAATAATAGACATTTTTAGTAATTTTAATCATGATCTTGAGAATCCTATAGCTAATCAATATAAACTCAGTGTAACATGAACGGATATTAACTCCACTATCCGATGTTTTCATTATTTAATTTATACATGAAAAAAATGCAAGGACAAAATAGTATATAAATCTCGGAGATAAACATCCGTACCGACGTATGAAAAAAATATATAAAAAACATTGCTTCACCTTGATGCTTTCGAACTTTAAAGATAAAAATTCATTTTATTAAAATATAAAAAATGCTATGATTATATATTATACATATTTTCGTTTTTTTTTTCTTTTTTTTTAAATAAATAAAGACCAATATATGATCAACAACTAATATAAATAACACTATCAGATAGCATTTAACAAAAATTCCAAAAAAAAAAGAAAATTATTCAAAGATAACATATATATATATTTTAATGCTGTCCAGAATTGTCTAGAATCCTTAGATTTTCGGTAGTACTTTTCGTAAATTTTTCTATTTATACGCGCATGTAAGGTGTGTACTATTCCGACATGATTAATTGATTTTGACAATACTTCTTAGGTAGATTCATTATTCGTGTTGGCAGCATGCATATTGATAGATTGACGTCTTGTGCTATTCTCCTGGTCATGGTCATCTCCAGAATAGTCTATTTTACATAAAAACGTCAATAAAAAGAATATATGATTTGAAGTGGGCGAGTGTAGTATAGTTCACATTCCGAAATGTCACATGTGACCACCAAATGAATCATCAAATGTATTATTAATAATCTTTGTGGTGATATTTGATGATGAATTATACCGTATGTTACCTAGCGTAATTAATATACGTACCAAAAAAATTCGCGTAGGGAGCTAAGCTGGCAATCGATGGCGGGTAGCTTGGAGATGTTCCTGATGATAGATCTAAAACTGTACGTATAGATGTTAACAAATCAGTAAAAAAGTAGAAAAAGAAAACCATACATAAGTTTTACAATCATACGCACATATGAAGTTTGCTCCAAATTGGTTTAAGTAAGCAGCTTCGTTCATATCACTTTCAAGGATTCTCGAGTTAGGGTCGCTCATTTGCGTATTTCCTTGATCAATTTGTTTTATAATTTTGGAGCTATCGTGGTGTTGGTTAGTCTGTTCATTTGTAGTATATGTTTCTTGAACAAGTTGTTGAGTCATTCTAACAGAAGGACTATTATACTGCGGGTTATTATATCCGCTGGTAATATTTGTTTCGGAAGTAAGTGTTTGTGTAATCCCAGGACCAAATGGACTATCATTCAAAAATTGGTTTATATTCTGTCTCATGTTAGGGATACCCATTTGCGTATTTCCCTGATCTATTTGTTTGATAATTTCGGAGCCATCATATCGTTGGTTAATCTGTTCTTTTGAAATAGACATTTGAGCAGGCTCCATAATAGATGGGACTTCAGTTAGAATTTGGTATATATCCTGATGTTTTCCTGAAGAACTTGATGACAATGGATACATATTTGAACGAAGAGGAGCTGAATCTGGTGTATCTTCTTGACTACGCATATATTCACTGTGCAATTTTTTAAATTCAAAACTGTAATCATCCCAAAGTTCCTCAAATTTAATAGTATATTGACTTTGAAATTCATTAAAGCCAAGAACACATTCACGCTGAAGGTCTTTAAATTTGCGTTGGTATTTACGACGAATATCTTTAAACGACATTGTATGTTGGTCATCGCCTTTTTGAAATTTGGTTTTACTTGTACTGGTCATAGTGGATATAAGAATGGGAAAATGAAGATGATATTCTTAGCAATTATAAGCATTATATACATTTAAAAGAGTATAAACAGCGGCACATTATGTAAGCTTAATATCTCATCCAAGAAAACACTAATTTTGGTAATTTTTAGTAATAGACGTTTTTCACATGTAATTGCATTCCATTGAATAACAGAATTTTTAAGTTATCGTGTATATGCTAAACTATTTTGACAAACTTTTGTTGTGTAAGCGCCAGAACCTGAAACTTGAATTCATCTCATTCTACATATAGCCTTGTTGAGAAATTCTGTTTTCACTTCGAGTAAACTGATCAACAACTTTCCCGTAAAAGAAATCCTCTCACTATACGTATATCCTTGTTAAGAAATTCTGTTTTCAGTTCGAGTAAACTGATCAACAACTTTCCTGTAAAAGAAATAAACATACATAAGCTATGAAATCTATTGAAAGTTAAAATTGTCATTTCTATTTAAGGTTAGCTTATCGTCATTGCATTGTAATACAAACAAAATTGCTATTTGGGGAACGATTATCCGGGCCAATTTTCAAAAAAGTTGAACTGATCTTCATATATACATCATACTTAGAAATTTCCCAAAACCGCTATAATTAATTTCTGTGTGGTTTCACTAGCAATATTAAGCTAGCGCCATAGACATAGCTCTAGTTTTTTCTTCATATGAAAGCAGCTAGAAAAATAATTCAGACTATGTAGGCTTAACGAACAAATTTGATTTGTTAACGTAATAAAAGATTTTTGTACTCAGATTAAATCATAAGATCATTGGGTGGCTAACAATTTTTATAATATATGGGTAGTATTCTGGTGAGTGGGTAATGAGGTGGATCACGCGTTTACTAATTTCCCCAAGATTCGATATTGGCCAATCAGAATGCAAGATCAGGTGTAACGTGAAGATCAAAACAACAATCGCTCTTTTTTGAA